GAGGGTGTGTTGGGGGGGGGGGGGTAAATTTTGGGTGGGAAAGAGAATTTTGGATGGCTGATTTAAAAAAGTAGCAAGAGGAAGGGTTTTTTGGTGGAATTTGGGTTAGGTAGTGGTGGATTTTGGTAACCCAAGAATGGGACTAAGGTTAGGTTAGCTCTGATACCAAATGATACAGGAGTTTAACCAAACAAAAATTAAAAAATTGTTACTTTGGGTGATCAAATTATTACGGTGTGAACGATTTAGATATCTCGGGTCTGTCGTTCAAAGCGATGGTGATATAGATGGTGATGTAAATAGTAGAATTCAAGTTGATTTGTTGAAGTGGAGGAATGCTTCGGGGCTTTTGTGTGATAGAAAAGTACCGCTAAGACTGAAAGGAAAATTTTATACGACGGTGGTGAGACCTACAATGCTCTATGGCGCTGAATGTTGGCTTTAAAAAGAAAAGCATAATAATAAGTTGAGTGTTGCCGATGAGAATGATTAGGTGGGTGAGTGGCTTTACACTTAGAGACAAAATGCGGAATGAATATATTCGTGATAGGGTTGGTGTAGCTCCTGTGACAGACAAAATTAGAGAAAGTCGTCTTAGATGGTTTGGTCACATTAAACGTCGACCATCTGACGATCCGATTAGGAGAGTAGATGTTTTAGATTCGACTTGTGTTAAGAAAGGCCGAGGTAGACCTAGGAAGACTTGGGCTTATTGTATTAAAAATGATCTTAATTTACTAGAACTAAATGAAAATATGACACTAAATAGGACGCAATGGAGAAAAAAGATTCATGTAGCCGACCCCACGTAGTGGTATTAAGGCTTTGTTGTTGTTGTTGTTGATGAAGTACTGGTAGTAAAACTAAAATATGGTTAATAAGAACGGTAAATTAGGTTTTTCTTACTGTGTTACAAGTTGGCCAAAAGTAGAAAGAATATAATCACTAAAGATTAGAGAAATTGATGATTGGGATAAGTTAAATTAGACTTTAGATTTACCTAGAATTGATAGAAGATTTATTGACCTACCTTACTTTCTCGTTTGCTTTTATTTGAATCGTCTCCTTTTTATGATACTTGTTTTCTTTCTTCTTGATCTTCTCTTTGCTTTGTTATTACCTTCTTGATGCTTTCTTCCTTCTTCACAAGTTATCATTCCAATCCCTTTGTCCTCCTTTCTTGAATATGAACTTGCTAGAGAGAGGGCATTTTCTTGAGAGAGAGAGAGAGAGAGAGCAAGAGTTATAAGAGAAAAGAGAAAGGTACTTAGTGCACACAACTTGAATCAAAAGATAACATTCATGTTTGGCTTGAAAAATGATATCATTTATTAAAATCAATACAAAATATAATTACAAACTATAAATCCATATTTGTAGATATTAGGTTATGACAACAACACCAACAACAACGAAAACAACAACAACAACAACAAGCCTTTTTCCCACTATAGAAATTAGGCTATAAAAATAATAGAAATATTTTGAAATTAAATCTAATACTATCCAACATTTAGTATTATATACTATTGTCAATTTAAAACTAAAATGTGCAAATGGATAATTCAGCTTTATTTGAATTGAATGAGCAATGGTTCTATTTAATTTGAAACAAATCTTATAATATTTAAAAATTGAAAAATATAACCTCTTATCACAAATATAAGATGAGCTGTTATATGAACAATTCTCTTATTTTGATAACTTCTCTCTCATCTGGATAAATCAGGTATAAGTTTAATTAATTCCAATTTAAAATTATTGTCTCTCCATGTTCCTGACCCATGCTGGAAGGGGAGAAATTTTGGGATTGTGGGTTCATGCTCCCTTTAATTGTTGCATTTTTGTAGCCCCGATATAGTTTGGTTTTTAGGTTTCACATGAGTCTGATGTTCGGTTCAATTTGGGTTTGCATTTGGACCTTATGCAGCTAAATCTGAAGTTAGCCATTATTGCTCCACCATTTAAGTCCACTCATATAGTTTGACTATGGCTAAATTGCATGGAAGAGCCTCCCAAATTTCTTCTCTATTTGCTATCTTTTACTAGACATAGCATAATGGTTATAATACCTCCTTCCTTTAATTTATAAATAGCCCTTGTAATAAGCCAAGTGAATACTTCAATTTCATGTACTATTAATTTATATTTTTAGATGAAATTTAGAAAACCTATACACAATTCATTTTTTTGGATTGATTTTATTGCATTATTAAGGGCAAGCTAGTGGGGGTTAAACTTTTATGCTCCTTAACTGCAGCATCCCTGGTCATATTCTAACTATTAAGTGTCAATCTTTTTCTTACGGAGAACGGATTGTGTATATATTTTAGTTTGATCTAATAATATAGGACAATATTAGATGTTATGTTGTTATTTGTGCTTTAATAGCTCTATTGTAAATGCAGTGCCACTGGTTTGGTGTTTCCCATCTGATAACGATTTAAGACGAGAATATAAAATAAATGAAAGTTTAAATCTAGTAAGAAACACCTTAGAGATGACTGGAGATGGTTTGTTTCAAGTGATGCCAAGACCAAAACTAGTTATAAGCACCTTGCATCATTTATCTGGAAGAAAACTTCAGCTAAATCTTAGGACAATTAATGACTGAACAACCTCTAATAAGAATAAAACAATGAGGGGAGCTAAAAGGTATTTTAAATTACAAAGAAGTACTACATCTTACACCATGTCACCCTCAGTGTTTATTAGTATGCAAATGATTAGCTTTCTGATGTATTTTGGTTTATGCGGGATTGTAGCATTACTGTTGATGCTGGATTATAACATTATTACCGGTGTGAAATTGTTGCCACCGCTTTCATAAATTTATCTACATAAGTTTCTGCATGATACTCATTCTTCATGTTGGCCTTTCTTCCATCTATGGCTTTGGTTCTTCTTACTAAATATGTACATTTTTTTATTAAGACTATTTTGGATAATTGTTATGAAGTTTTACGGTTGTTTTGAAACAATTTTATTTTTTGGAATTTTAATTTT